AAAAAAAAAAATCGTAAAGAAATGTGTTTAGCCATTTTTTATGTCTGGGTTTTGTTCATGAACTCTCCACCTAGACCTATGTCTTCAAGATCTACCTTCTTTCTCTTCTAATAGATTCAGTGTACCTATTTTAATATTTAGGTTTTGGATCCATTTGGACTTGTTTTTCCATAATTTTATTGAGAAATAAATAGCAATGAGACAGTTTCAAATCAAATTGGTAGAACAGTTCCAATAATTAATATATTGCATATGGTCTTCTCAGTGGTTATTTGTTGTACAAGATACAGATATGATATCCTATTTAAAAGCACTATTAGAACAAATCCCTCTATTCCTTGAATTAAGAGAATGTAGCTATTTATCCTAACCATTTTAAATACATAGATACAAAATGGACATTCATCTATATCCCCTTTTTTTGTTTAGTTCCATCATTTAAATGTTATTGGTGTGTGAACTCAGCAAAATATTCCAAAATAGTCTAGTAGTCTATAATCGTATTGGGTCTTCCACTTGACTGGCAATGTCAGAAATTGTTGACCTGAGTCCCCTACAGCTCAATATAACAACATGGCTTTTTTTCTTGCACTTCATTTTCATACTTTTCTGCTGGATGGTTAAGACCAAGATAAAGCAAGACCTATGCAACAAAAGTTGTAGCTTTTGGATCTGATAAGGTCAATCAAATCGCCTCAGGATTTATCCTGAGGCCTTAAACCTCAGATTGTAGATCCTTTGTCAGTGTCAGCCATATGGATGAGTCATGGCCATTGCTTGGCCAATTTGCTCTCTGTGAAAGCCTGAGAGAATGTTTCCTCTCCATGTGACTCTCCTTAGGCATACTCTACCTCATTGATCACTTTCCTCTTTGGCCCCATAATCTCCTTGATCAGAAAATTTGGAACACAACTGAGTTACATGATGCTATAGTACAAGTCTTCATATGTCCTGAGTCGTAATTGACCTTGGAAGGGTAGGGCCAAAATGTTGGCTTTCCTTGCAACCCTCCTTTTTCTCTAATTTTTGGGCTGCAAACTTAGGTTGCTAACCCTCCAGAAGAGAAGCTTATTGTTATTGCCATTATAACCTAGACTGCTGAGCTTAACCTCACTATCTGTCTGAGTATCAAACATCTTAGGCATAACA